TAACACCTTTTGACAAAATAGATACATCCTCCCTGTGGCTTGGAATAGATATACACTGTCAAGAAGGGTTTTCCAAATGGTCTCTCTTTGTCACCTTTACCAGATTTTTGTCCTCTGTTGCAGAAATGTGCAGTTTAATGTTGTGTTTCAAATAATTTTTGGCTGAAAAAGTGTGTAATGGAATCGGGGTGTCCCCTGAATACTCCTAACAGTAGGAGATGCCTCTTTGTTCTGAGCACCAGAATCCCAATAGACCCGTGACAGCAGTGAAATTACACTTTTGACCTTGTTCACTAAAGTGTTTCTCTCTCTGTATGATTAAATGAGAGTAACTAACAATAGCTTCCTCTAAAATGTATGAGTTTCCTTCTGTTTGTTTCTCGTAAGAAACTCAGAAAGGATGCTGTGTAATTCTGAGCTGATTGTGTTCTTCATAAAAGAAGAAAAAAGAAAACAAATCCAAACCCTGCTTGATTCAAGGAGAGGTGGCTGTTTTATTCATATTAAAAATGCAAAGCAGTTGATATGTTAGTATTTAAGCCAGTGTTGTCGCTACATCCTGAGTGTGACAGCAGCAGTAAAACACAGCAGCGGATTTTTATCCTTTTGTTGCTTCCTTCACCGCACTTTTTAAAAGGGGATATATACTAAAGCACCAAATACATCTTTAAAGTATTGAATCTGAATATACAAAATAACCATATACTTAAGGTTCTCTGTGAATTTGGACTGTGATCATGGACTATGCAGTTTATGTCAACTCAAAAGATAAATTTTCTGTAGAATTTACATGCAGCCTTTTAAGTTCCTGGTGTTTCTTTGCATTTGCTTGTGACTGAGCAGACATAGGCCACTGCAGGATGTGCTATGACTGCCAGTCCCACCTTATGTACCAAAGCCTGGCACATCTCTTGCTCCATGCTCTGTTATTCAAGGCATGGCTTCTCTGGATCAGAAAAACCCAGTGAAGTAGCTTGAGGAGAGATACAAAATCAGATTCTTATTACTTCCATTTTAGGTTACTTCAGCTGTGTTTTGGGGACTTATTTTTCCCCGATATATTCCTGTTTTCTGTTAATATTTATCAGGTTTGGATTAGTGAACATTCTTTTTTAGTCATGCAGAGCACATATCTGTGAAATGCAGGGGCAAGTACAATCCTGTAGTTCATGTGGGTGGAGAATTAGATAGCTTGGTTCAAGAGGAAGGGAAATCTATAGCTTTTTTTAGAAGGAATCAAAATAAGTGACTTAATGGCCTCCATGCCCTCAAGACTAAGAGCAGTTTCTCCTGTTTGCTCACTGTGGATGATGCTGTGTAGGGAGAGTATCAGAGCCACCGAGCTTGGAGGGCGATACACTGAGGGGGCTGCAGATCTGCGACTCCCAGTTTCCTATGCTGCCAAAAAAACTTTTGTTTTTCAATTACTGCTTCATTGGTGATATAAATTAATGACTGGTATGGGTCTGAAGCAACCTTGTCAGCAGAGAATATTTGGTTAGTGTTGACATAGTTGTTCCCTGCAAACATGAATCATCTGTCTGCCTTTGGCAGGCTCACCCTGTGGCTCTGCTATAATGTGTTTCACCAGTGTGGCTGAAATTAAAATGTCAATATTAAACATGGCAGAATCGGATGCTCTCTGGGCATTGCATCTCTTCGAGTTCCTCTTGCTTCCTATGTAGCTATTTCTGACAGTTTAATAGGACAGCTGTATTCTGGTATAAAATAATACATTCATATTTCCACAATGCACAGGGAGCTAAATGCTTTCAGAGCACTATTTCATGGTGTACATGCATCTTTCATGCACAGCAGAAGCAGTAATGTTCACATAGCACCATGTTGCTGCTTAGTCCATTAGGAAGCATAAAGTCAAAATTAATTGTCCTGCACGACCGTATAGAGTGGGTCTCTAAAAGCAGTTGCTGGGCTGTTTGTGGCTGCTGCGTCAGCCAGGCTCCCTCCCTGTGAGCAGTTATTGACTTTGGGCTATTGAATTCAGGGCTCTGGAGGTTGCTTGGTGGGAAAAGCCTTCAGTCAGTGCTTGGCAGCTCTGTCACTGCGAGGTCATGGAAAGGGCAGTTCTGTCTCCAAACCCAATTAGGGCCTGATTCGGCATCTCTTCAATCACAGGGGAAAAGCCCACTGAGTAGGGTGGCTCCTGAACCAGACTTTCGCACCCAGCCTCTCCAGTGAGACAGCTGATGAACGTCTCCATTTTTGTCACTTGGGCTGTCAGAAATATGCTTTGCTGTCATGAGATGGATGACCAGCTAGTGCAGAAAGGAAAAGAGCCTGGTAAGAAGGTAATGAGCCTACCAGAGCTGAATTCAGACCACTAATCTGTACATGCATGTCTGCGTCCCTCCTGTTACTCATATCTAGAGCTGTCTAATTCCTTGGATCAGATCATCTGACTCTTATGAGCAGCTGTAACTTTCAAGTTGAATAAAGTCCAACTGCTGAAAACATTAATGAAAAACATAAAACCGAGGCTGTGTTTTATCAGGTATCAACAGCATTGCTCTAATTCCCCCCCTCCAAAGATTATTTTTTCTTGTGCTGGATTGTGCTTTTCATCCCAGGTGGCTGCAATTTCTAGTGAAAATAAGTTGAGCCATGAAAGGTTGACCCACTCGCCTCTGAATTGCTTTTTATATGATGTGAGTCCCTCAGGGCCCAATTCTACCCATAGAAGTGAGAATGATAGCTATCAACGTATATAGGAAGTATGTCAGTGTGCACAAAGAAAAAGGTGAACCCAGGCTGGTCTGAGTGGTCTTTAAAATACTGATTTCCTGTGGAAATGGTGATTAAAGGGGAAGCAAAGGATAATTAGAAAATTAGCCTGACACACTAGCAGTTATATCAATGTGTGTTTTTATATTGGCTCTTTCAGGCAAGCACGCAATCAGCAGATCCCTTATGACTCTCTTAAACTAGAGTGTAAAATTTGGTTAGTGTCTGATCAGCTCCTTTGATCACCCTACTCTAGGCTGTTGCCAGAGTACTTACGCTGTACTAAACTCACAGTCCCCTTAAATGGAGGCTTACTCAAGTAAGTCAAATTACATATGGAAAGGCTATAAAAACTGTTCACTGTCTTTGAGTAAATGAGCCTGGTTCAAAGCTGAATACCTTAGGTATTGCAAAACTAAAAGCAAAGGTGTTGTTGCAGAAAAGAGGTTTAAGTGGTTTAATTTTTAAATGACTGTCTCAGAAATTCAAAGAAACTTTTAAGCAAACCTTTATTATTTTTTATTGGACCAGCATTTCTGTAAGCCTGTAATGTACTCAGAAAGGAAAAAAACTCCACCAAAAGGTCTGCACAAATTTCTCTTCAGAAATTAATGAGTTACCACCACCACGTCTGTCTCATATCAAGCACACAATATTGTTTTTAATTGTAGCAGTGGAGGGCCAGTGGGAGCTGTCAGTATGTAGGTTGCACTCCTGCCACCTGTAATTTCTACACAAGATTATTTGCAAGGGAGTGCTGGAAGTCCTGGAGCAGTAAATTTGTTATCTGTCAAAGCAGAGCTGTTTTCCCCTGGTCACTAGAGCCTTTTCCCACCTCTCCCATTGTAGCTCCATCCTGTACTTGTCTGTTCTTTGCCACATGAATCTCAAGACATGTGAACAGTTCCTTTCCTCTCTGATAATGCTCTTTCCTTTTGCATACTGGCTATGCAGAAGATCATTTGGAGACAGTTCTAGTTCACTATCATATCTGGAAGGTTTGGAAAGATATCCTATACCACTAATTTTACAAAGCTGGTCTGCACCTAGGCTGGTTTTCTCAAGATGCCTGTGTTTTTAATTTAGAGGTTAGGTTTTCAGTTGTGTGTCTGCCATATTTGTTGGATGCCTTGCAGTGCCATCAGAATACCTGGCGTAGAAACAGTGCCATTGAATTGATCAAATCATCAAGAGAACTAAGTGAGCATGTAAATATCACATCAAGGGGATGAAAAGATCACAGAAAGGAGGCCATTTAAAACATATAAAAACTGGAATGCAAGTGACAGTTGCTTTTTTTATCTACACCAAAGCCTGGTACACTGCTACTATCCAAACAATGAATTAATCTACTGATGGCTGAGAAATGTCTCCAAAACAGGCAGTAAAATCTTTGGGATGATGCATAGTTCATCCAGCTCTTCAAAAGCACCAAGCGTTAGTGTACTTACAGAGCCGTGTAAATAATGGAAAGATAAAAGAACCCACTTCTGTGAGTGAATACAAGACTGCAGACTGCAGTAGGAATACTAGGTAAATTCTTCCTTCTTGTGACTGTGTTTCAGCCAGTGGCATTACACCAGGGAAGAATCTGACTGTATTTTTCATGCAGCGTAGCAGATTGTTAAGAGGCAACAGGCAGGTGTTTGAGAGAATTTCCTCTGCCGTTTGCAGTAGCGTATGTAAAATTTGGTTGACCCATAGTCATTCCATTAGCTGTTATCTTCCGGCACATAACCAGTTAAATTTGTGTTAAACAGGGTTTGCTTTGCCTTTTCCATTTGCTGCTGGAGTAGAAATGTTTTGACATGACATATGACCAATCAATAATTGGAAAGTGCTTGCATGAGTCATTTGAAGCCAGTAGTTTAGACAGTGTCAGCCACAACTGGGATTAAAACCTGCAAAGAGTTGTTCTACAATCAGTGATTCTGCAGCATCTCCTCTGGGTGTCCGCATTTCACTTAATAAGGATACCCTGTAGACATCAACTGAAATAACTCTTGCCTTTGTTGCTTGGATGTTTTTGTAAGCTCTGAAATGAACTTGGCATATACAAATATACTTTATTATCCAGCCTAAAGGATGCAGAGCAGGAATTACTATTCCGTTCTGCTGGCAGCTTCAGTAGAAAAGAAATGGCTTTATTTTGCTATGACTGAAGAGAATAAGAGTGTGACCATACCCTGTGGTTTTCTGGGTAGTTTTAATTTTTTTCTTTTTTTTCCTGTACTGATAATGTTTTATTACTGTTACAGGGCTATAATAATCCGAAACGGTGAAGTTATTCCAATGTCTTCAGAATTCACTCCAGAGACTGAACGCCAGCGACTTCAGTATCTGGTAAGAGACCTGAGGACCATATTGGGTGCTGCTGATGACAAGCATTGCCCAGTAATATCTGTGGTTCATACAATTGCTGCTGAGTTACTGTGGCTTACTGAAGGAACATATACCCACTGACCACCAGTGACCCACCATATATGTCTTTTAGCCATCAGTAAATGTGGAGAAAAGCCTAGTGGTGCAAATCCTGATGAAAAGAGCCTTGCCTCTTCTATGAAGGCCATCAATTAGTATGGCTGTGCTTGTGTACCTTGTTTAGCTGCAGACCTTCAGTAGGTCATTGATGTTGGATAATGAGAGCTCAAACATAGAGCTAACAAGCCACAGAGGTATTTCAGTCCATCCCAGTGTTTAGCATGTGACAGTATAAAATATCACAGACTGCTTTTTGTGTGTGGGTGATATTGCAGGGTTTTATTCATTTGCTCTTAATAGGATGCCAATAGTATCTCAATCGGGGAAAATATATCCAACTTTGAGATGATGTCAGTGAGCATTAGTAGCTGCAAGATAGGATGGGTGAAGAAAGACTAGTTGTATTTAGTGTAGCAGCACCCATAAAGGGTGACTAGCTGAGGACATGTGGGATGCTTTATACAGCAAGTTGGCCGATAAGCTGCCCACGAAACAGAAGTCAGAATGTATGGTGGTGTTTATCATGCAATAATCTTTTTTCTCTTTGAGCTTTTCATTGGTGGTTGAATCAGTCAGTTGAAGTTGGCTGGGTGTTTGTCAAGGCATCATTCCTGATGTGACTAAGATTTTTTTTGTGCTTCTTCTGGGTCTTTGCTTTTTCCTTTTAGAAAGCTTTAGAAAGTTTAAGCCAAGGCAGGCTCACTGTCACCTTTGCCTGACAAGAGGTAGACAGGCAAGTGTAGTGGCATTGCCTGGTCTTAGAGTGTCTCTTATCTTAAGACTGGCCCAAGCACGGTGATTTGAGAGTAGGCAAAATGCCAGTGGTGGAAGACAGAGGTGGAAGGTTTTAAAGAAAAATTTCAAATGTTTCCACAATTGTCATGTTTGATTTTTAGTCAGGTTCACTGGCTTAAAGCTGAAAATTTCAGAGGAAATAGTGCTTTGGGAGTATTTGTATTCAGCAAACCAAATGGAAGAGGGGCCTAATAAATATTTACAATTCAGTTACGTTTAAAATAATTTGTTTGCCTTTAAAATAAAAGGTATCTTTAATATCTGGGGAGTCTGCTACTTCTGTAGGAAATACAGATAAAGCATTGCCTACAAGGGATTTTTTTCTCTTTTGATGTCCTTTCTGGCTTATGTTTGGAAACAGCAGCTGATATGAAAAGCCTTTCTGCTGTTTCATTTGGAAAATCCCTTTACCTTTGTTTGTTTATTTTAATTCTGTATGTAACAAGTATGCCAGATCTATGGGTATCGTATTCAAAGAAAATATGCACAGGACAGCAAGAGTGTGAAACAAAATTAGAGAGAATTTCAAATGTAACATTTCATAAGTAACATATTTTACTCTAGTAAAAAAAAAAAAGAAGACCCCAAATTTCTTACAAAGTTAGCATAAACATTACACTCCAAAGGTTGCATCTGTCTTATGGATTAGATCCCAAATAATTCTCCTTACTCACCTTGGCTGTGCACAGGTTCTGCTATCAGTCTGTTGCACCATCAACATCTCTCTTCTGCTGTTCTTGTCTGAAAGTTAGTTGGTTTGGATTTATTTTCTTATTTGCAGTTAAAGCTGATATTTTTTTGTTTGTTTGTTTCAGATGTGTTGCCCTGCTCTTCCTGCACAACAGGAAGAAAATCACTTAATCATTTCAGCATTAATGTTTTACTTGGCAAACTCAGAGATACTGTTCACTGTGGGGGAGTTAGTGCACGAGCAAAGGGAGGGTATGGATTTACAGCCTACAGGCTTCTGAGCATTGGTTCCCTGTGCAGTAGACACTGTTAGCACAGTCAGGGCAAATAAGCTTTCCTCTGCCTTTAGTGCCTATTATTTGCTTTGGCCACACAGGATGTTAGTTTAGGTCCTCTTTCCTGGGCTTTTATTTCCATATGCAAAGAAGTCTGCAGGATAACGAGTTGTTCAGATCGTGTGAGCATCTCCATATGAAGTTCTCCAGCCTAGTCTTAGACAAAACTGTACTTCAGCTAGTACTGGTTGAGTAACTGGAGGGATGGGAGATGGACACACAAATGTTTTCCCTATCCAGCTCCCTTTTTAATGCAGTTTTATTAGCATGAATCCGAGACTGGCCTTGGGCGTAGGCATCTGGCATGACAAACTCAAAAGAACAAGTTGTCTACCCAGTCATTATGACTTTTGAATAGCCTTGGGCATGGTCATCCCTTTGTCTCCACCTGCACCCCTTCTTTTTTGCAGTGAGGATAGCATTCAGCTGCAGATTTCAGGTAGGCCATATGGCAGAGGCAGTCTTCTGTGTCAGGGGACTTGCAAGAATATTGCTGAAGGCAATATTGATCCTTCAGTCAGAGAGCACTTAAGATGTAAGGTGTGAAAGTGTTGCACCAGTATTCCCTTGGTCCTTTGGCTTCTGCACCATACTGCTTCTGTTCCAAGGGTGGGCATTCATGAACCTCCTTTTCTTTTGAATTTTTGTGTCTGGCTTTTCTTTTTAGCACTGTGTCAGGAGAGCTCCACACAACGCCTACTCCAGGACAGCTCTGGCTTCCCTATGAGTGTATCTTGAGCAAAACCAAAATCCAGCGTTGACTGGGAACTGCTGTGTTACATTCAGCAGTTGTGCAGGCAGTGACTGCCAGAAGCAATTTTTCTTTCATCTTCTGAGGAGACTATTAATTTCAGTCATGATAGTCTAAATTGGAACAGTAAATGGCATAGATTTTGTTACTTATTTCTTTGGAAAATATGTTCAAAATGAATGATGTATGAATGTACTGCAGATGGGTGTATTTCTATTAGTTATCAAAGTTGCACTTTGTAGGTGTCATGTGAGGTCAGCATGGTATTACTGCATACTGTGTCCATGTGTGTAGCCAGGCAATGCCCCAAAAAGTTCACAGCTCAGACCAAAGGTGGTGCATTAATGGTACCAGGCCAGTCTTTACCACTAGTAGAGACTGTGTGGCCATTAGTGGCTGTGAGTTGTAGATGCTCTTTGTGTTTGGCACTATTCAGACATAGGTCCATGAGCCTGGACAAGCATGGGTTCAAAGAAGACCTCTTCTTATTTCGTCGTTCAGGCAAGGGTTAAGTGATGCTAACTTACCTGCTGAAGGATGTCTGGGGAGCCCAGCCTGAAGAGGAAATGAACCTAGATCTCCCAGATGTCGGTTCAGTGCTTCAATTACAAGTCAGATGCATGTTAATTCTTTGTGGCTCCCTGCATCACCCAGCATAGGATTGCTTTGGCCATCTGACGCACTGCATGATGCTGTGGCAAAAGAGATGTGTAGATTTATGGAAGGGGTCCTGGCATGTTGTAAGAGGAGAGACCAGTCCAGGGATTGATTTGGCTCTCACTTTCCTCTTTTTATTCTACCACCACCTCTTTTAGTTTTAACTTCTATTTGTCTTAAACATGTCCGTATGATAATGGCTGAGTAATCCACCAAACTTCTGGATGCATTGTGCTGTGCATGCTGTTGTGAGCATCAGTCCCATACAGTAGAATATCCTGTTGGAGAAAATGGCACAATATGATAAGAGGGTAAAGTTGTAAGATATAGTGGGCATAGGGGAAAACAGCATTGCTGAAAATAGCACAAAATACAGTGAAACTGTGAGTGCTGGTGATGTCCCAGAGTGGTGCATGCTCAAGGAGCTGGAAAAGGCATCAGCAGACCTTATCGAGGTACGATAAGATACATGCAGTGTTCCCTGCTGCCTAATTAACTGACACACTACTGTGTTAGTCTGGGTTTATCTTAATTTCATGTTTGCTTTGCTGATCACCAGGAAACAGCAGGAAGTAAATGGCCTTTTCAAAGAAATGTGACTAATATTTCCTTGAGCAGGCTCCATTTTAAACAGCTAATACTGAACGTAATGCATCCAGGCACAAAATATACCATAAAATGGCAGAGTACCACAAACACATGGTGCAGACTATGCCAGATTTATGCCAAAAAAACTGTGATAACTTCTGAAAGAAAAATGATGGTTAATACTCCAGTTTCATGACACAGAATAACAATATTGTCTGAACATACCTTATAAGGATATACAAAGCTTTTGACAGTCACTGTTCTTTAAATTTTAAGTTCTCTGAATGGTGTTTCTGATCTTAGTTTCTTGCAAATCGAGGTTAAACAAAAGGTAAAATATATCCTGCCTCACCAGTGATGAAATTCTGGTAGTCAGTTCACTTACTATTTTGTTTCTCCTTTGATCACTTGAGGGGATTTCGTAGTGTCTGCTTGTATATCTGCTTGAAAGATCTGTAGATTTTTAAAGCCTTGCTTTTTTTTCGTTCTCTGGTTCTGCTGCCCAGCACAGGTTGATTGGGGTGAAGAAGAGTTCTGCCTTATAGTAACTGGAGAACAGTTCTCAACAAGCCTGACTGGAAGTTGCAGCTGAATTTTATAGTAGAACATTATTCTCTCTGCAGAATCACCAGTGAAGTATCAAAAATAACTGTTAAAAAGAAAAGGGTAAAAAATACAGAAAATTAGCAGGGAGTGGGGAGAAGCCCAACAAAAATCCCTCTTTCTTCGCATAAGAATTCAGCTTACAGGCACCAGAAGCTTCCAAATTGCTCTTTTCCCTCTGTTCCACTGACGCCAAAAAATATTAGAATCAAGTTAAGATCCCTGGATTGTAAATCAAGCATTGAGGCTTGGCTGCAGAAGAGAAATCTTACTTGAACATTAGCAGTCCACTGGCAACTCTGCCAGCTTTATTAATCTTATTTCGCTTGTGACCTCAGACTTTCCATTTGAGTAAATCTTTATGAAATGCAGTCTCTCCCAATTGCTTTACCTTTTCAATAAAGAAAATTCTTGTTTTCAAGGGGAAAAATGATAAAAGCCTGCAACTTTTTCTCTTCTGGACCTGTGATCCAGCCTAATAAGTAATCTCGTAATTCAGAGGTTAAATAGCTTAATTTTGATGTCAGGTATGAGTCTTTTTTGCTTTAAAGAAGGCGTCCTGTTTTGTAATCTGATGACAGTAGTCTTTAGCTAGAAGTGGTTTGTAATGGTTTAATCAAGATAGGCTGTGCATTTTTAATAGTGAACTGAATTGCACTTTCAAAGCAGACTGACTTCATTGTTTACAATGCCATAGACTACAAAGAATTGAAAAAATACCCCCCAAAAGCCCAGCTTTCTGCAGTCAGTGTGTAGCAATACATCAAATAAATCATTAGGGATGTTCCATCTTTTTTTGCACCTGGAATGAAAATAAATAAAAATTAGAAGTTCGCATGTACTTTTAAATCAAGAGTTCAGAGTTCTGGAAGTATGAAAAACCTCATCTGGACTAATACTGCTAGACCTCTCAGAAGTCACTAGTGCTTTTCAGCCATTTCTGTAATGAGGAACAGTGATCCAATTTGGAGGGTCCTTGAAAACAGTATTTGCTTTGGGGAGGGGACCTTGGCTGACTGTAGACTGCAGGGAAAAAATTTAATTCCCTTAACTGTATGTGGAGAGAGAATTTGGTGGAGTTCCAGTTCCAGGAAGGGATCACAGAGTCAGGATCACACTTGTGTGCTTGAGAGCCACCTCTTGAAAGCAATCTTTTTGGCTACACACAGCAATCTCGCTCACCCTGTTTCAGCTGAGCTCAAGGTGTTTTCTGGAAGGATGTCTGGTGATGAGAACAGGGACAAGCTGATGGAAGGTTAGTGTTGTGATGTGCTGAGCCTGATCCAACTCCTATTAAATTGAGTGGGAGCAGGCTCGGCCCTTAAATGCAGGAAATATTTTATTGTGAACTATCTGCATGATAGCTGCCAGGTAGATCAATAAGGGCTTCTGCTGCTTCCTGTCGCTCACCTTTGATGAGCGCTTGATTTATGACAAACCCACAAAGTAAAGCCAGCTCATTTGGTCTGCCCTGACAGCAGCTGCTGCTGGAGATAAGACAGACTTTATTGCCTTAACTGGCTGGATAAGGAAAAAGAGCTAGCTGCAGAAAGATTAAGAAACACAACTTTTTTCAGTTCCCTCGCCAGTTTGACTGTGGCTTCAGAAGAGCTTGCTCAAGATGTGGCACTGCGAAGGGAGGAAGAAAGGCTTATTTATGCAAATATTAAAGAAAAATATGTGAAGTTTATTTTGGAAATAAGTAATACAGTATGTTTAGGATTACACTATCGTATCAGGTGATCTGGGTATAAATCCAAACCAGAAATTTGTGCAGTGGACAAAGAGCTTTGCACTGCTCTCAAGTACAGTCAGCTCTGCAGAACATGAGCCTTGGGCATGGCCCTGGCAAAGAGGCCTCCTAGCATCTGCAAAGCAGCACACCAGAAAGGACAGCAGCAGCATTTGAGCACTAACACCATCAAAAACATTAGTTGCAGTTGTGACACACAAAACTGCTGCTGTTTTTCTTAAAGTCAGCTCTGCATGAAGGAAGTGGTTTTTAGAAAACAAGAAAAGACATTGCTCTGCAACTCATGCTTATTTGCAGTGTCACATGTGATGGGATGCAGCACACTGAGCAGGTAAAAGGGAACATATTTCTCAAGGCAGTGACCATTAAAATGTGGTAGTAGTATTAGGTTTCGTGTGTTGTTGGTGTAGCTGAACTGGGAGTCAAAAAACTTGAGTTTCACTCAACATGCACCCCTCCAAATCTCTGCTTGCTCCAAGGATATGTCCTTTGATCATTCCCTTCTCTCACATAGCTGACTTAGAAAAGGAGATGTGTTCTGTTTTATGAAGCCCTGCAGTCTCCTTCAGGGTCAGTGAATGGCATGTAGTGTAGAGATCCCAAATGTTAAGGAGCGGGGAGAAGTGAAGGATTTTGAGGGCAAGAGGACTGCTCCCTCTAAGGCTGCTGCTGGACACCCGCAGTATCGGAACTGGTGTATGTGCACATTGTTGGCTGAAGCAGAGCTCGCAGTCCTTCTTGTTTAGGAAGGAAGGGGGGGGAACGTGAATGGGAAGGGAGCGGGAAGGGGTGGTAATGCTACCTCTTTAAACATAGATGATGCCTTTTTTTTGTGATGTCTGTGTGGTATCTGTGGCTTGGTTTCTGCCCACAGGCTTACATGCAGCCCCACTTGCTGGGAAATGAGTTCACACATTTAGAGTTTCCACGAAGGGTGCAGCGCAAGGAAGTTGGAAAGAGGATGCTCTACCGTGACTTCAACATGACTGGCTGGTAAGAATGTGTCCTTCTCAGCATGGCGTCTGCCTTCTTCCCAACCAATGCCTGCTTTGTACCTGTCTTTGATTAGTATAAACTCCGTCAAACATGGAGGTGTACCCCTGTGTACTGAAGGGAAAGGTATTTCCTTCTTTCAGATGTATTTTTCTTTCGGAAGTTAACATTTTAAATAAATTGACCTGCCTCCGGAGTTAGGACCTTGTTTCATTTTAATGTGGGAGCACTCAAAGCAGAGCAAACACATAAAAGGGAGGACATGCCAAGGGATCTTTCTGAAAGCTAAACAACTTTTCTATCTTGGAAATAGCTTTTTATAATATCTGGATCCTTTGCATGCCAAGGAATGCCTGGAGAAGAGCTGCCTCCCATACTCCAGTGCAGCTGACCCCTGATTTGGGTAACCCTTGAGGAATTCTTTTAAAGATGGGCCTGTCTGAATAAAAGTCATAGCCATCTTAAAATGAAAAGGCTTGAATGAACAGCATTGACTTAATGAAGCGAAGACAGGAAGAACGATGATTTTTTTGTCTCTTGCTAATTGTCTTCATTGTTCTGTGTCTGTTCAAGAGGCTCCTTCTCAAGTGACTCCCACTCACTTAGAGAAGCCCTAATCCTTGCTGTTGTGGGCTCTGTGTGTAAGCTATAAAGGCAAAAGCCCTATAAATTCATAGTCTTCACTTCCATGCTGTTTGTCTTTTACCATCCTTAGCAAATGTCCTTTCAAGAAGGAAAAGAATGGAGAGGGTTAAAAAGCCTCCAAACTTTTTTTGGCTTGGAGACCATACCCCACATGCTTCTGATTTGTCCCATACTTTATAGACCATAAATATAATGATGTGTTAATGGCAGAATGGTGATCTAAGTTTAATGTTACCTGGAGTGTTTGTGCAGAACATCTTAGTCTGGGAATAACCGTCATTGTCCATCATCTTGAACAGCTGCTGCTAGAATGCGGAGTCTCACCCTCAGAATGATGACTTCACATTTTAGAAAGGCTACAGGCATGAGCAAAAGAATAGGAAACAGAATAAGAACATTGGATCAACTGAGGTCTTCAACAACAAAACATTTGGAACATCATGAGACATTCTCCCAGTTTCTGCAAAGGGAGTTTTCTTATTAAACTCCCGGATGTCTCTGAAGGCATCAGTAAAGCATGTCTTCATGTAGACTTCCAAATGTTCTTTCTCAAGATGTGAGATGCTATTGAAGGGGAAAGGGCGGGGGGGGAGGGAAGCTTTCTAATTTAGGGGAGAGCTACAGGAGTATCATGGGCCAAGATCTTCCTTAGGGGAGGGTAAGAGCAGATTACTTTCATTATGGTTGGAAGGCAGAGAGGGTTTCTCCCGCTCTGTGGGAGTTGTTTTGCATTTCTCTGGTTGGTTAGCGGTCTGGAAAGAAAATGAGGTTAAAATGGTTGAAGTTGCAGCATTGGCAGGTGACACCACAGCTCTTTTCCTAATAATCAAGAAAGGCCATGAGGAACTGTAAAGCATTAAGTTATTTACATGAATGGGCATCACAATGATCAAATTTGGTGTTGATAAATACCAAGTAAAGCATGAAGATGGAAAAATAACTATTAGTGCACACTAGAGGTTGCAGCTGAACCTGAGAGCCCTGTCAAAAAGCTCAGTGGAAGTTCTGCTTACCGTGATCTATTTTTTTTCCCAGTCAAAATCACTAGTGGAATGTTGGGATGTGTACAGCCCTGGAATAGTTAAACTAATTGGTAATTCTATATGTCAATTTGTACCTCATTTATGGATCTATGCATAGCACTTCACCTTATTCAAAATGGTTATTGCATAGCTAGCAGTGTTTGGCGTTAGAGGAGAGATAAATAAGAAGGAATGCAAATTTTAAATGTAGAATAATTAGTAAGAGCTTGGGTAAGCCTAACTGGATCACAGATTTGATTTAGCGTTATTGTTTTTTCCATACTGGTGCATGAACTCTTAACTCTAGCATATGGCAGGGGGGAGAAGAGAGTTGATTCTCCTGTTGATTTGTCTGCATTTCCTGAAGTGTAGGATACGTGTTGATCCAGTTCCTGATTCTGATATAGTCAATGCAACAATTACCACCAGTATAGTACAAATATGCCTAGCTCTAAGCAGTTATTGCAGGATAAATACTTAAACTGTGACTTGAAAATTCAAGTCTCAATTCACCTCAGTGTTGTCCCAGAAAGAGGTGGCCTGTGCCAAGCAAAAGCATGTGGAGACTGTGATGAGGCTACCTCTCCCTGCTGTTCCTTTTGACTTCTGTTTGGAAGTAGAAAATGGGAGCTACGTTTTAGTTCTTAATAAAAGAATTGAAATCTTTTAGCTGTTCCATATCCCACAGCTAGCACATCAGTTACCTCTTTGTTTGCTTGCCTCAGGACAATGAAATGGTGAGGGAATTTTGCTCTATCACCATGAATTTATCTAAATCAGAGGCCTTCTAAATAAGGATCCATTTCTTTTTGCAGGGTTTTTGCCCAAGGCTGTCTTGTTTTCCATCGAATTGTGTGCAGTGATCTCCTAAGCAGAGGAGAGGCAATCTGCTTCAATTTATCCAAAAGTCTAGGTCAATTTTTATGTTTGAGACTGTGGACAAGACGTTTGATTTCCAGTTTGGTGGGCCGTCAGAGGTGATGGTTTGAGGTGGCTGGTGTTTCACAGTGGTTGTTTTACACTTCAAGGGTTTTGCTTCTGCTTTCTTCCCTTTCTAATGTCTAGATTTAAGTGATGCATGAGGACGCAGCGGCCAAGGACATGTCTGTTCTGCATTTGTTGTTAAGGACAATATCTATCATGGAGAATAAATTAGCATATATATTCCTTTTCTAGAAAACATCAGATGGAGCTTTGGCCAGCCAGAGCTTGGTACGCCAAAACACGGCCAAACTTTTATCACTTCCAATTCAGAAGATCAATTGTGTGAACCTTTTTTGGGTCAGTGACTTCACCGTGTGTTGGCATTCGCATGTACATGTAGACGTGTGCGGGTGATGTTAGGAAGAAACTGCCACTCTGACACTTAATTACTGAATCCTTTAGTGAGAGGGTGTAAACTCTCTGCTCTGATGTTTCCTCAGGAAAATGAACTGGTTTATTTTAAAATTCAGGACACTTTCTGTGTTTTCTGTTAGAAGCTGGATGGCTAATTTTTTTTCCTTCATTTTTCCCTTCTCCTGTGCTCTGGAGCTTTTCAGAGACTCAACAATGGCTTGGCTTGCCCAGATTGTTTGGATTACAAAAGGTTATTGTCTTTGGGTTTGTCATAATGCATTTGGCCTTTTTTTTTTTTTTTTCCTTTTCTTTTTTTTTTTTTTTTTTTTTCCTCATGTGAAGTTTCCACACTGGCTTTGTCTCAACAGCCCACAGTGGTAGCAGGGCTGCCAAGTTTCCCCACAGCATTAGGACAACCACTGATCCAGCAATGTGTACCGCATCACTGGTCCAGGCTGCCTGTAACTGCTCTGAGACCAGCCTTTCTTTCCTCCCTCTGGCTCTCCCACCCTTTCAGATTTCTCTGCAGTGGCAGTTGGGATGAGAAATCCACTGTATTAAATGTATCTAAAATAAATCCCATTTAGGTGGGAGCTGACTGCAAGCTGCCCCTCCTGTCCCCTTCGCCCCACATGCGTTGTGGTTGAGCAACCATTGCAAAATGCGTACTGTAGCTGGCAAGGCATCTTAAGAGCTGTGTCTCCTGCTGAACAAGCCTCCGACCTGTCTCGAGCCATAATTTGCTGGCAGACATCCGTGTTACTGACAGCCTTTCACAGCTGGGTCTCTGGTCTGGGGTTTTCAGGCCCATGGCTTGCAGAGGTTAAACTTGTACCAGGAAGAGGGTATTTCTGGTGGCTTTGACAGGTCCTGGCAACAGAAGCATCAGGGAAGACTCAGTGGCCATGTAAGCAAAGTGCTGCCAGTGCTAAAAAGGGGTGAAGGTCGCCTGCAAGTAGAAATACATGAGGGGGAAATGCAGGCCTGGTGGTTACTGCTCCTTTAAAGTACTGCACAGAATTAGTACTCTTTGTCTCTGCCTTTTATTGGAAAGTTAAGGCATGGTTGGTCAGGTTTTCTTTACTCACAGGTATATCCAGTGTGAACAGTTGTGAAGTACTTTGCTCTGACTATATCATAGACATCTGCCCAAAACCTGGTTTGCTGTGTCGCTCACTGGCACAAAGGCTCCTTCCCAGGTTTCTCCTGTCAGCCTCCCGTGGGGCTGCAGAAGCTATACGGTGCTGCACTTAACCAAAGTCATCCAGAAGACACTACCAACTGGTATCAGCTTTGATGGTTTCAGAGTTAATTTCTTTGCTCCTCTTTGGAATGCGAACAGCAGCCTTTCTGCTGCTTGTGTTGAAGTAGAGTTCTTTGAAGGCTTGTTTCCAGATCACAGCTCTAGCTTTTTTACTTGATTTTAGGGTGGCAAAAGAGCCCTAGATAACACGTCCATTTTTTTCGACCTGATCGCTGGTGCCTTCCTTTGCTTTCCAGGAGTACACAGAGTTGGGCTGCATCCTGTCAGAAACATCCTGAGCTGGTGTAGTACCCACCGCATATCATGGGCTGAAGCCCAAGGCAAGCCAGTGGGGGCATTTGGTGCTGCCTGTGATCACACTGCATGCACGGCAGCAGTGGAGTCCTCACCAGCTCCATGTCCATGGGGCAAGGGGTACTGTGGCACATGGTCAGCACCCGAGGGTCAGCCAGTGCCAGGGAATCGCCTGCCTGCATGATTTATTCCAAAGCAGGGAGGCTGGTGTCCTGGGGTGAGCACTAAGCAAAACCCATTTTATTCTAGAGTCAATATTGTCCACTGCCTGGAAAGCTGCCAGCCTGCTCTGTGCTCACCCTTTTCTTTCCAACAGGGAATGTCTTTCAGCCCCTAAGCATCTGATTAAAAACTAACTTCACTTTTCAAGCCGTTTTATTTTGTTTGGGATGGATGCCTTTTGCTTTCATTGTGCAGCCCGCCTTGCCGTCTGCGGT